AAATTAACTTGGCCAAGAAATCTTTGCAACTCCTTCTTGTTCTGTGGTGGTTTTGCCTCAATCACAGCCCTGGCTTTGTTCTTGTCAACCTCCAGACCACGCTCATGCACCAAGTACCCAAGGAAGTTACCCGCAGACACTCCAAAGGCACACTTTAGTGGGTTCATTTTCAAGCCATGTTGCCTCATCCGCTCAAAAGCCTTCCTCAAATGGACCAGGTGGTCTGCTTCGCCATGTGACTTCACCACAACGTCATCAATATAGATTTCCATGAATTTACCAATCATATCATGAAAAATTGCATTCATGGCTCTTTGGTAAGTAGCTCCAACATTCTTCAGACCAAATGTCATCACAACCCATTCAAAAGTTCCAACAGCACCTGGGCATCGAAAGGTTGTCTTAGGAACGTCTGCGTCTGCAATAAAAATTTGGTTGTACCCACTATGGCTATCCATGAAAGATAGAATTTTGTGACGGGCTACTCCATCTACCCACAAGTCTGCAATTGGCATAGGATACTCATCCTTTGGTGTAGCTAAATTCAAGTTTCGAAAATCAACACAGACTCTTAATTTTCCATTCTTTTTCAGCACAAGCACTACATTTGACAACCAGTTTGCATACTTGCATGCCCGAATGAACCCAGCTTTTACCAACCGCTCAATTTCTTCTTTCACCTTCAAAGTGACTTCTGCAGACATGCGTCTGGGCGGCTGTTTATACGGTCTGAATCCTTCTGCAATTGGCAGTTTATGTTCCACCAGTCTCCGATCCATACCTAGCATTTCTGAGTAATCTCAAGCAAAATAATCCTTAAATTCATGCAGAAGTCTAACAATTTGATCTCGTGTCTGTGGCTCAAGGGAGCCGTTGATAAATGTTACCTTTGGCTCACTTTTAGACCTTAAATTGATCTCCTCCAGTGGGTCTTGAACTTCAGCTTTTAAATCATCCAACTTGGCTGGGGCAAGATCCAGCTCCTCCAAAGTTATTTCATCACCCTGGTCTGCCTCCTCGCCTTCATGAACAATTTCATACTTGTCTACTTGAACTGCTTTTTCAGCAAAATAGGCCGCTAATTTCTTTGTTATCTCCAACACGGCCTCTTCTCTTTTTTGTCTCAGAAGAGCTTGCTTCATTAAATTTCTTCAATTTTTAGTTTCCCCTTCGGCCTATAAGGAATTATTGTTGTTGGCCGAAGAAGTTCATCACAGACTTCCTCCACAGCACGCTTAGACAAAGACGGTCTGCTGCATGCTGTTATCCCAA